TGTTTTAGTAGGCATGGTGGTGTTGGGTTGATGGTTGGACTTGATGATTTTAGAGGTCTTTTCCAACCTTAGTGGTTCTATGAATAGACAAGCCATGGCAAGATGGTGCTACCAAGCAACAGCTGAGAACCTGCTACCTTTGTTAATAAAGAGATACAGTGCAAATATATTAATTTTGGAAAGACAATGACACCACCAGAAGCCATCTGAGAGACTTCTGTGTTACATATGACACAATTCTCCATTTCTGGTGGAAAAAGAACCAAGGTTTTATGACAGAATTGCAAGGAAATTTTCTCGTTGTCGAGAAAGCCAACAAACCTTTTGTCTACGCAAAGTAGCAGCTGCCTTTCTGAAAATCGCTTAACCAAGTATGCTTTCATTAACATCGATGGCTTTGCAATCAATAGCTTTGCCACCAGCATGTCCCTAGCTCCTATAAATTATTTCCACTGCGGATAGAAAAAAAAATTAATTCCTTAATGAAGTATTTGTATCAAAATAGATGGATTCTACTGTGTATGTAACTTTTAGTTTCAAACGCAGGGTTGGCAATATCAGTCCAAACTTACTCAGGATCTGATGTTTTTTGATTACATGTACTGAATTGAAATTGTAGAAATTTCCTGTGAAGAGCAGAAAGCTCCTATATGGAATGCAATGAATTTTTATGTAGAATATTATTGGAGAAGTTTTCTAATTATAGAGGTATCTCTGTGGATATTATTATGTATAATAATGTGCTTGCATGGTTGCTGGTATGTAGCTTCCTGCTCTCAGGAGGCCTTGAAACAAGTCAGGAACAGCAGGGGACAGGGCTGAGCATAGGCCTACCTATGACACAGCTCAGGCAAGTGAGTGTGTGTGTGACAGTGGGGCGATGTCCAGGCCTGAGCTTATTTGGAACTGGTAGACCTATGGACAGAGGATGCATGGGTGGACACTGATGAGGACAATTAGAGCATCACTATGCTTTCAGGGTCCTGGTGAATATGTCTTCCAAGAGGAACATGTAGACAGTTCCTTTTTAACCTCTGCATCTCTAGAACTAATCTCAAGGAAAACTGACTATAAGCTCACATAGTTCTCTCTATAAAAGTAACATATTTTCCAAGTCTTTCTCTGGTGACTTTTTAAAATCTTCACTCCTGACATAAATCAAAATGATCTCTCTCACAGTCGCTTCTCTCTCAACCTCATTTATGTTTTTATGCAAAAAGAATGAAGGCTTAGGAAATTGGACTTGTTTTGCTGAAATGTCATTTTATGGGTTTGAAGACTTCTGCTGATGCACAGGTCTAGCAACTAAAGGTCTGTACCTTGTTGTGAATATGTTCCAGAAAAGTCCATTTCTCGTCTCTGATGATGGAGAGTAGACAGGTAGACCTGTACCCTTTTGGAGGTGCAGGAGGCAACAAGTATGCAGATGTTGGTGGCAGAATTTAGCCCTTAGTCAATACATTCAGCAGTGTATAAAGATCACCTCAGCTGACCACATAAGAGTCCACTTCTGAGTGAGCTGGTTTACTCTCCAGACTCCACTGACTGTATCAATTCATGCTCTGTGGGGGCTGACTCAGCGCACAGCCAAACAGCCACGCAGCCTCTCTCTCACTCCCTTCTCCTGTGGGATGTTGAGAAAATGGAAAGGAGAGACAATTCATGGACTGAGATAATGTGCCCTCACAACCTATTGCCCGCCTCCAGGCTGCTCTGTCTGTGCATGCGGGTAGGGGGAAGAGAGAAAGCCCCAATGCTGTGCAAGTGCTGTTCAGTAAGAGTCAGAATGTTGGTGTGTTATTCTGGTGCATTAGCATCGGCTAAGGGCCAAACTCCCACCCAGCTGCTCTCTCATTCCCCCTCCTCAAGAGCACATGGGGAGAAAACAGAATGAAAAAGCTCATGGGTCAAGATAAGGTCCCATCATGGGCAAAACAGGCTTCATTTGGGAAAAATACTTTCTGCCACTCCTCTTTTTCCTCTGACCATGGTGTCCACAGTTGTTTCTCACTCATTTTTCTCCTATTCTGCTGCCTGCCTGAGGTTTTCTGCTCTTATGTGTGTTTTCCCAGAGGCACCACCAGCTTGGCTGATGGGCTCAGCTGTGCCCTGCTATGCCTCTGTTTTGGAGCTGGCTGGAACTGCCTGTGTCCAGCACAGGGGTAGCAACTTACCTCTTCTCAAAGAGGCCAGTCCTGCAGCCTCACCTACCCTCTCGCCCGCAGCCTTGCTATGTAAACCTAATACACAGTTATCAACACTGTTATGGGCCAAAATGCAACGCACAGCACTGTACAAGCAATCTGAAGAAAGTTAACCCCATCCCAGCCACAGCCAGGTCACCCGCCATTTATCATGTTGCAGAGATGGTCACAAAAGTAACAAAAGTAACAAAAGTAACAGAAGTAACAATAGTTTGCTGGGATCTTTGCAAAGAGTAGTGCTCATAAGGTGAATCAAAATCTCCCAGAGAGGATGGTTGGTCCCTGTCCAGATTTTGATAGGACTCTCTGTAGCAAGAATCTTTGCAGCAGCATATTCAGGTGGATAGGATGAGACTCCCCAAAATGT